ATTTTTAAATATAAAACTTGGTGAAGTGATTTATGTGTCGGTACTTTTTTAACATATCCAGCACATTTTAACAATAGCGTGATAATACTGATAACCGTGATAATTTTGGTCACTATAATCGTGAAAAGAAATTTTCATACAGTTTATGTATGGTTTATAAACATTATTTTAAACATTATGCACTATTTTCAAAGATTGTCATGTTATTTTATTACGCTTTGAAGAAACGTGCATAATATTTTGCTCGATGCGTCCTCTTGTGGCCTCAGGAGAGAAGCCAAAAGCTTTTTTCCCCCTAACTGAAATTATGCCTTTTAAACTCGAATATAATTTGAATTTTGATAATATTTAAGTGGAAAATTCGAATTTAGTTTTTCAGTCATTTTGACAGCCCTACAAAGAAGTACATTTATTTAAAATAGAAATCTTTTGTAACATTATAAAGGTGTTTACTGTCACTTTTAATCAATTTAATGCATCCTAAATGAAAGTTTTTTTAAATTTTACTTACTCCAAACTTTTGAATGGTAGTATATCAACAAAAATATTCCACAAAAATATTAGCAGGAAAACTGTTTTCAACCTTGAAAAAAAAAGTAATAATAAGGACCAAATGAGCATATTATAATGGTTTCTGAAGGATCATGTGACACTGAAAACTGAAGTAATAATGCTGAAAGTTCAGCTTTGCATCACATAAATAAATAAAATATATAAAAGAAATAAAATGCACAATACAAAAATAAATAAAAAATAAAATATATAAATAAATACAATTTTAAATATATTAAAATAGAAAACATTTTTTAAAAATCACATTCACACCAGATTATTAAAATACATTCAGCTAAAATTATGAAGAAAAATGGAAGTGAGCTCTTGCAGTGCAAATGATTTAGCAATCTAGAATCAAATAAAGTAACATTCAGAAATGTTTAAGTGCCCAAATAGATTTTGCAACCACTATAGTGTATATATCACACAGTATATTTATATCAGCTGTTGCCATGTTCTGTATTTTTACACTTTGACATGTATAGAAAAATAGGTTGAGTTTATCTGTGGGCGCTAACTTAAAAACAGGCACTTAAACCGATCTATGACTACTGAATGTTACAGAGTTCTGTTTTAGTAGCTGTTTACCCTGTGTAACCTGCATGTTCTGCTGCAGCTGGAGCTGCGAGGGGTTTTGCTGGAGGAAGGAACGGATGCCGCCGCGGACCCCGCGTTTCTCCTAGAGGTCCTGGAGATCAATGAGAGCCTCGCAGAGACGCGGAGCCAAGATGAGGTCAGCACTATCGGGCGGTCTGTGCGAGGTGTGTAGGCCTGAAAGAAAAGCTCCAACCGGAAGTGATTGTTGAAATATTGCTCTGCACCCACTCTTGTCGCTCGCAGCTTATTGATGTGACCGTTTGTGGCCCCAGATTCATTCCATCAGAAAGTTCAAGGTCCTGTGGTTTTATGTTTTCGCTGCTAAGTCTTATTCGTGCTGTTGATATACTGTATTTTACTTCCTTTCACCAGAGAAACTGAAAGACTTGACTGAACGGATGAATTCATCTCTGATTAAAGGTATTTTTCTCTCTTTCTCCTCCTCACGACCTCCCAAATTTGACAGAAATTCAGCGCCAAGGCCGGTTGCATGCACATTTCCATGGCATGCGAGTGGAAAACAGCTGTTTTGGTGTTTGCCTCACGAGTCTCTTTTCACAGGGGATCTGCTGACCGCCAAAGAGCTCCTGGCCCAAATGAAGTACTTCACAAATATAGAGGAGAAGGTAAAAGACAGAATTACAGAGGGTTGCTGAGGGGAAAATTGTAGTCCAGCTCAGTGAAAGATTCACGCTTGTGCTCTGAAGTTTTTATAGTAGTATATTTATTGTTAATGGTGTGTATTTGTTGGATTATTGTTGGTATCTAAATAAAGTACATTATTTTAATCTTTTGTCAAAAGCAATGCTTACATGTGCAAAACTCACCTCTGTGATGCTACAGTGTTGTCATTGGTTGCTATGGCATTGTTAGGGCTTTTGAGTCATTTCTTACTGGACTAATTCAAAAGAGCACAAAGTATTATGGTCTGTTGATACTGTATGACTCTGGTGTATCCTGCAATCTAATTTAAAGGGATTTTTTTTGCATGTTTTGTCGTTTTCAAGTCAAAAACTGAGCTCTTACATGAGTGACAGCACACCTTTCGACCAAGATGCATGATTTAATTTATATATTTAATATGTATTTAATATTTAATATTTAGAAGTAATTTTAATATTTTCTGTTTTAATTTTTATTTAATTAATTCATTTTATTTATTTATTTGACTGTTTAGTAATTCAGTTTTATTTGATTTTCAGTTATTAATTATGGTGATTCAGCTTAAGTATTTTTATGTAATATTTTATTTTATTTTATTTCAGCTTTATTTCAATTAACAAAAATATAATATTTAATATAGTTAAGTTTGTTTAGTTTAATTTTGTCATGTAATATTTATATTCCATTATTTTATTACTATTTTGATTGAATTTATTTTTATTTTTTTTATTTTAAGTTCAGTTTAGGTTTATTTATTTCCATTTGAGTAATTTTGATGATTCAACTTAAACTTATTAAACTTACTAAGTTAAACTTAAAACCAGAGTTGCAGCATAGCTAAAAAATTTTCAAATTTGTTTCAAAGTTAAAATACTATAAAATTCTGTAAAGTTTTGTGTAGTTTAATTTTTCGTGTAATATTTAAATTTCATTATTTCAGTTTTAGTTTTAGTTCAGTTTTAGTTTAGTTCCAGTTAGTAATTTTGATGAATCAACTTAAGTTAAACTTAAAAGTACAGTTAAGTTCTGTTTTATTTTATTTTTATATATAATACTGATATTTTATTTCAGCTATATTTCAATTAACAAAAATGTTTTAATACTGTAAAGTCTTGTTTAGTTTAACGTTTTGCATCTAATATTTAGATTTTATTTCAGTTAACAACACACACACACACACACACACACACACAAAAGAAATTTTCATACAGTTACATTATGGTTTATAAACATTATTTTAAACATTATGCACTATTTTCAAAGATTGTCATGTTATTTTATTACGCTTTGAAGAAACGTGCATAATATTTTGCTCGATGCGTCCTCTTGTGGCCTCAGGAGAGAAGCCAAAAGCTTTTTTCCCCCTAACTGAAATTATGCCTTTTAAACTCGAATATAATTTGAATTTTGATAATATTTAAGTGGAAAATTCGAATTTAGTTTTTCAGTCATTTTGACAGCCCTACAAAGAAGTACATTTATTTAAAATAGAAATCTTTTGTAACATTATAAAGGTGTTTACTGTCACTTTTAATCAATTTAATGCATCCTAAATGAAAGTTTTTTTAAATTTTACTTACTCCAAACTTTTGAATGGTAGTATATCAACAAAAATATTCCACAAAAATATTAGCAGGAAAACTGTTTTCAACCTTGAAAAAAAAAGTAATAATAAGGACCAAATGAGCATATTATAATGGTTTCTGAAGGATCATGTGACACTGAAAACTGAAGTAATAATGCTGAAAGTTCAGCTTTGCATCACATAAATAAATAAAATATATAAAAGAAATAAAATGCACAATACAAAAATAAATAAAAAATAAAATATATAAATAAATACAATTTTAAATATATTAAAATAGAAAACATTTTTTAAAAATCACATTCACACCAGATTATTAAAATACATTCAGCTAAAATTATGAAGAAAAATGGAAGTGAGCTCTTGCAGTGCAAATGATTTAGCAATCTAGAATCAAATAAAGTAACATTCAGAAATGTTTAAGTGCCCAAATAGATTTTGCAACCACTATAGTGTATATATCACACAGTATATTTATATCAGCTGTTGCCATGTTCTGTATTTTTACACTTTGACATGTATAGAAAAATAGGTTGAGTTTATCTGTGGGCGCTAACTTAAAAACAGGCACTTAAACCGATCTATGACTACTGAATGTTACAGAGTTCTGTTTTAGTAGCTGTTTACCCTGTGTAACCTGCATGTTCTGCTGCAGCTGGAGCTGCGAGGGGTTTTGCTGGAGGAAGGAACGGATGCCGCCGCGGACCCCGCGTTTCTCCTAGAGGTCCTGGAGATCAATGAGAGCCTCGCAGAGACGCGGAGCCAAGATGAGGTCAGCACTATCGGGCGGTCTGTGCGAGGTGTGTAGGCCTGAAAGAAAAGCTCCAACCGGAAGTGATTGTTGAAATATTGCTCTGCACCCACTCTTGTCGCTCGCAGCTTATTGATGTGACCGTTTGTGGCCCCAGATTCATTCCATCAGAAAGTTCAAGGTCCTGTGGTTTTATGTTTTCGCTGCTAAGTCTTATTCGTGCTGTTGATATACTGTATTTTACTTCCTTTCACCAGAGAAACTGAAAGACTTGACTGAACGGATGAATTCATCTCTGATTAAAGGTATTTTTCTCTCTTTCTCCTCCTCACGACCTCCCAAATTTGACAGAAATTCAGCGCCAAGGCCGGTTGCATGCACATTTCCATGGCATGCGAGTGGAAAACAGCTGTTTTGGTGTTTGCCTCACGAGTCTCTTTTCACAGGGGATCTGCTGACCGCCAAAGAGCTCCTGGCCCAAATGAAGTACTTCACAAATATAGAGGAGAAGGTAAAAGACAGAATTACAGAGGGTTGCTGAGGGGAAAATTGTAGTCCAGCTCAGTGAAAGATTCACGCTTGTGCTCTGAAGTTTTTATAGTAGTATATTTATTGTTAATGGTGTGTATTTGTTGGATTATTGTTGGTATCTAAATAAAGTACATTATTTTAATCTTTTGTCAAAAGCAATGCTTGTGCAAAACTCACCTCTGTGATGCTACAGTGTTGTCATTGGTTGCTATGGCATTGTTAGGGCTTTTGAGTCATTTCTTACTGGACTAATTCAAAAGAGCACAAAGTATTATGGTCTGTTGATACTGTATGACTCTGGTGTATCCTGCAATCTAATTTAAAGGGATTTTTTTTGCATGTTTTGTCGTTTTCAAGTCAAAAACTGAGCTCTTACATGAGTGACAGCACACCTTTCGACCAAGATGCATGATTTAATTTATATATTTAATATGTATTTAATATTTAATATTTAGAAGTAATTTTAATATTTTCTGTTTTAATTTTTATTTAATTAATTCATTTAATTTATTTATTTTACTGTTTAGGTTTAATTTATTTATTTTTTCTCAGTTATAGTTTTAATTCAGTTTTATTTGATTTTCAGTTATTAATTATGGTGATTCAGCTTAAGTATTTTTATGTAATATTTTATTTTATTTTATTTCAGCTTTATTTCAATTAACAAAAATATAATATTTAATATAGTTAAGTTTGTTTAGTTTAATTTTGTCATGTAATATTTATATTCCATTATTTTATTACTATTTTGATTGAATTTATTTTTATTTTACTTTGTTTTAGTTCAGTTTAGGTTTATTTATTTCCATTTGAGTAATTTTGATGATTCAACTTAAACTTATTTCAGTTACTAAGTTAAACTTAAAACCAGAGTTGCAGCATAGCTAAAAAAGTTTCAAATTTGTTTCAAAGTTAAAATACTATAAAATTCTGTAAAGTTTTGTGTAGTTTAATTTTTCGTGTAATATTTAAATTTCATTATTTCAGTTTTAGTTTTAGTTCAGTTTTAGTTTAGTTCCAGTTAGTAATTTTGATGAATCAACTTAAGTTAAACTTAAAAGTACAGTTAAGTTCTGTTTTATTTTATTTTTATATATAATACTGATATTTTATTTCAGCTATATTTCAATTAACAAAAATGTTTTAATACTGTAAAGTCTTGTTTAGTTTAACGTTTTGCATCTAATATTTAGATTTTATTTCAGTTAACAACACACACACACACACACACACACACACACACACACATATATATATGTATGTATGTATGTATGTATATATAGTTAACAATGATAATCCTATGCTGTTGCACAAATTGTGCTCATGTGCACTAAATTTGAATTCTTTAATTTGAATAATTGTAATAAATTATTAGGTTAGTAGTTAGTTCAAAACTCAATCCTAAGTGTGAGCAATAATAATTGTGATGCTTGCATTAGCAAACGCTGCTGATAACACATGCAAACAATCTTTTAGATGTCGTTTCATAAACTATGTGTGACTTTCCCAAGACAATACTTCTGCGTTCAGTGTCAAACTGTGATTGGCTGATGCCACGTTTATTTAGGTCTGTCCTTTTGGGAGAACAGAGAAAACAGGAAACCCGCAAAATGATGAAACTCTAGTTATAAAACAAAACTGTGCAAGACAACAAGATTCATTTAGCCCGATCCCCGTTTGAATCTTTAATGCTACTACTAGACTTGCAATCTCAGTGCGCTTTGTGATAAATGCATCTTATTCTCTCTAATGTGGGCTGATTCATTAAATTGTAATTGGAGCTGGATTTGTGCTAGATGATGGCATTACTTTGGACACACAGTCTCTTATTAGATAGCACTTTGACAAAATTTCTTTATTGCGTCAGTTTGTACAGTCGCTTATGGTGTGGTATGAATTAAATTACATCATAACACACTTATCAATTCTGGATTTATGAATGTGTGTGTTTGTGTGAAAGGGCAGCGTCAGGGAGACAGGATCAAGGTGTGTGCATGCTGGAGCTGAAAATGCCTCCGCTGAGCTGTAGGGGGAAGCATGTCACCTCACTATGGAGACTGTAGAAAACCCCTCAACGGCTGTAAGTCGTGTTTATGAAATGCTTGTTATATATTCTTATGTATGAAGAGCATCATTTGGGTAGATCTTAAATTACTTTGTTTTGACACTTTGATTTAAATCTGTATAGAAATGTATGGTTTTTAGTTCTCTTATGATGGAAAATCGGTTAGAAATCTTCAGTTTTGTGCTTTTTCTTTCACTTCACAATCAGTGATTGCACACAGTTGATTAGTTGTGTTCACTAAGTCACATTTCACTATTGCTCACACTTACGGTTTTGTGGGTTGTACATGAATGATGCCTCAAATCACTGAAGCTTGTTGAGAAATAATTTTCAAATTGATCGTACTTCTAAGCTTCACTTGGCAGACGACGGACTTGAGAAAGGACTTGAACCCATGCACTGTACAAATGTTTGTAATTTTTACAGAAAACGATATATACAATGAAAACTGTAAATGGTTTAACATTGCATTACACATAATTTTATGGTAAAATACCTTTCTTTCTTTCTTTCTTTCTTTCTCAAATAAAAACTATGAATAACCACTGAAATTATGGTGAAAACAGGAAAAGGACATTTCCTTACATGACACATGAGATATGATTCACATATAAAAGACTATAAAAATGCTCATTACATTACAGTCACATTACCATATATACAGTGAAAAATTGTAAATGGTTTAACTTTAACATCACATTATATGTAATTTTACAGTAAAAATACTGTCAAATTTTTATTTTTTTTTTGCAAATAAAACTATATGAATGACTATATAATTCCATATAATACTATATCATGTCCCTATGTGACACATCAGATATAATTATAATTCACATATGAAATAATTTTGCTTCTTCTCATTTTTGTTATCAGTAATGTGCATTAGGGTGTTTTTTAAGGTATTATTTTAAGGTATAATACAGATTTTGGTAGTTCAAGATTATATTTATATTATATGATATATTATATCACTTAATTAAATATTATAGTTATAAGTAGTAAAATATACAGGCACCAATATGCCATCACATAATATCGGATTATGTATATTATTTATTTATTTAACATTTAGGTTTAATTTGTTTTTATTTCATTTTTAGTTTATTTCCATAATTTTGGTGATTCAGGTTAAACTTATTTCAGTTAATTTTGTTTAGCTTATTTTTTTTGTTTTGTTTATATTTTATTTGAGCTTTCTTTCAGTTAAAAATGTTTTAATTACTGTAAAGCTAAAGCTTTGTTTAGTTGAATTTTGTGGTCTATTTATTTTTTATTTTATTTCATTTCAATTGACAAGAAATATTTTTAATAGTTTTAGTTAAAAATATTAACCCTGGGCCAATGAACAAATGGTGCTATTATGCACTACATTTTAATACTTTAATTAAAAAAAAGAAAAAAAAAGAATACAAAGTGAAAGTTCAAGTCCCAAAATATAGGTACCAATATGCCATCCCGTAATACTGGATATTGTCACCAGATTTTTTTACTAAGAAGTTCTGGAAAACACAGTTCCCATTTTTTCCTGTAAATTTAACAGAATATTTTTAGTGTATAGACAAAAGTTTAGGAATAGGTTATGACTAAGAACAATGCCAGCTAGTCACAACTCCTTAGCAGCTGCATAGAAATGCCCTAGCAACCACTGTAGCAAAGCGGCGGCATAATTTGCAAATTCAAGAACCACTGACTTTTTTGGTGTCCAAACAAAGCCCATTTAGATCACGGTGACTTTGCAGTTTTGAACCCAGCTTTGTCTAAGCTGCCACTGTAGAAATGACCATTATAAAGTGAAACTTCAGCTGCATCATCTCATCTCAAAGGCAAAGAAACAAGGACAGAAAATTCATTGGAGGTTAGAAAAACAGCTTAGACATGCCAGTTTGCATTTAATCTTCAGTTTAAATCCATGTAACGCCACTGGAGCATTGCCCTGTGGACGTCCCGCTGAAAACAGGACTTGACTCGTTTGTTTATTAAGTCAAGAACGACAGTGTCACGTTTCTAAGTCTTCATCGCAGGAGACGATATTTCCTTAATACATGTGAATTAAACCACAGAGAGAGGAAGGGAGGGAAAATGTGGCAATCTGATTATTATTCATCCTGTAATCGGAAGGCATCTCCAGCTCTGCCAAATTAATGGGAAAACATGATCGACCAGTTCTGAAGCCACTGCTGTCTCCGCATACACTCTGAAATTGGGTTTGAAAGAAAAAAAGGATATGTGAAAAATAGAGGGCGCATCTGTGAAGAGGAAAATAAGATAAACCTTCACTGGTGGGGAAACTAGTGTTAAGGAAAATGGGCAAGAACGCATGTTCTTAAATGAGGGTGAGTTTAAAAGGTTTAAAGGTGAAGTGTTTTTGCTCAGCTACATTCTTAAAAATAAAGATTCCAGAAGGGGCTTTCACAGCAATGCCAAAGAAGAACCAATTTTTGGTTTCCCAAAGAACCGTTAAGTGAACAGTTCTTTAAAGAACACATTTTTTGTTAGTTTAAAGAATATTTTAATAATCTGAAGAACCTTTTTCCATTATGTACAATCTTTTGTTTAGTAGAAAAGTTCCATCAATGTTAAAGGTTCTTCATGGAACCACTGATACCAAAAACGAAGCTTTATTTTTAAGAGTACAGTGTCAACCATTGGCCTATCTATCTATCTATCTATCTATCTATCTATCAATCATCTATCCGTCCGTCCGTCCGTCCGTGATAAGTGATATGGGATGAGAAAAGGCAGAAAAGCGAGTTCGGCTAAAGATGGTTATGAACCCTAGTCGATCGTATCACACGCTACGTCCCTGCGCTTTACTCTCCAACCTACGGCACTGCTGACATGATTTGACTCTGTCCAACGAGATGAAATGAATGACACGAGTGTGTTTATTCACAACTTTTTTTCTCTAAATTTAATGACTTTTTTTCTTGAAACACAACAAATTTTTCTCGTAAATGAGTTTATTCTCAACATTTTATTTAGACTTTTTCCTCGAAATGTAACGACTTTTTCTCTTGTAATTTAATGACTTTATTCTCAACATTTTATCTCGACATTTTTTTCTCTAAATTTTACGACTTTTTTCTTGTAATGTAATGACTTTATTCTCAACATTTTATTTCGTCATTTTTCTTAAAATTTAACAAGATTTTTCTTGAAATTTAACAACTTTTTTTCTCTCGTAATTTAATTACTTTATTCTCAACATTTTATCTCGACATTTTTTTCTCTAAATTTTACGACTTTTTTCTCGTAATGTAATGACTTTATTCTCAACATTTTATTTCGACATTTTTAAAATGAGTTTAATCTCGTATTATAATGACTTTAATCTCGAGATGGTTTTATTTTTTTTTTATTATTGCTTGGCCCTAAGTCTTTTTCGGTTATTTTGAAGCATATTGGTATCCAAACAGATGATGGGAGCCATTGACTTCCATTGTATAGTAGATGACAAAACTATCATATCCTATCCAAAACTATTGGGTGAACTATCCCTTTAAGTGCTCTCTCTTTTGCATACACTCTTTTTTTCTTTCAGGTAATCTACGATCATGGTGATGCGATAGTTAAAGTTAGTCATCAGATGACATGACATACCGGAAATGCATCCGGTTTAATGGCACAGACATTTGTAGGTAACATCTTTTTGAAAATGTGTCACAGTTGGACCAATGCGTTAACCAAGTATCCACAGATGCATTAATGTTTGTGACCTCAGAGAGGATTACTCTCAGGAGCGTTTAACAAATTTGACCACATCTAAATCCATTCCCCAGGTTTTCTTCCTCAATCAGTGCAGCAAATGTGGAATATTGTGTGGATTCCCTCTGGACCTGCTCATATATCATTGTTAGCTTGCAGTGTCACTTTTGATTAAGTTCTTTTTTTTGTGATTGAGCTGCGTGTGGCTCCAGCGTCACTATGTTCACTAAAGTGCATAACCCAAATATACCAGTATTCAGACAAGCAGATATGAGTTTAGATTATAAAGCATGATCAGCATGGATTGTTTGTGTGCTGTGTTCAGATAGAGTGCTGCATGATTACTCATCTTTGAAGGATCCTCCTTGTGTAACCTTAAAAATGCTAATGAGATATTTACCCTCAGCAGTGTTTAACTCGTACTGTCTGATGCTCTTCATTAAGTCATTAATACTGCATGCAGATCTGCTATTTTAATCCTTCCCAGAACGGTTTGACTCAAGATGAATGTGTAAAAAACAACAACATATGATATTCTGCTTCACATGTTAGGTTAAATCCCACAAAACCTGTTGAAAACATGTCCAGGTCACACTGTGCTCCTAAAATTACACTTTATTAAGAAATGAAGCCTATTTTTAATAACACATTTACAGTTTTAATGCCTATCAGTTATGCATATTTTCATATTCCTGAAATGTGAAAAAAGGTAAAGTGGTTATATTTGTTGTTTTGCCTTTGTTGATTTAAAGTGATAAATAAAAACTATAAAAAATTTAAAAATAAAAACTGTGTTATAGTAATGGAAAACTAATGACAACCCCTATTGAAAAAAATATGGAAATTACAATAAATAAATAATTTCAAATTAAAAATAATATATTATCATAATGAGAATCTAATGACAATCCCTTTTGGAAACAAAAGGAAATTACAAATAAATAAATAAAAAGAAAGAAATTAATAACATTTATTCTAAATTCTAGATACTAAAATACTGTAGAACAGTAATGAGAATCAATTTTTTTTTCATTTTTTTTTTTTAAATATGGAAGTTACAAATAAATAAATAAATAAATAAATAAAATTCATATAAAATAAAAAAAATGAAATTGTTTCACATCAAGAATACTGTGTAACAGTAATGAGGATCTAATGACCCTTAATGTCCCTATTAAAATTGTGAAAATTACAAAAGGCAAAATAAATAAATAAAAATAAAATAAAATTAAAATTAAAAAAATAAAAATAAAATTGTTTAACATTGAAAAATACTGTATGACAGTAGTGATAATCTAATGACAATCCCTATTGAAAAAAGTGAAAATCACAAAAACAAAATAAAAATAAAATAGTTTTACATTTAAAAATGTACACATT